CCACATCATTTTTTTTTTTTATGACTTTTGTGATTTCTTTTACGTATTCATATTACAATAATTTTTTATGCCATACCATAGATTCTATCCAGCAAAAGAAAATTAACGTAATATTTAATCATCTACCTAATACATTTTCTATAACTGACCATTGCACACTCCTACATGTCTCACACTTTTCAATAACACAAAGGCAAGCTCGCCGTGGCTTTATTCTATCGAGCATAAAAATGCCAATTTATTCTATCCAGCATAAAAATTTAACAAAACATTAAATGATCAACCTACAATGTTTTCTATAACTGACCATTGCACACGCCAACGCGTCTCTCGCTTTTCAATGACACGAAGGCAAGCACGCAATGCCTCTACAGCACGCTCCCGAACAGCCAGCTGTGGATCCCTCAAAGCAACCCAAATGGCATCAACAAATTCTGGTACATGCACATTGAAGACTGTCGAAGCACTTTCTGCCATTTCCTACAGTAATTTACGAAGAGAAAAATTGATGTCAATCAGTTCACATGATCAAAATCCAAAAAGAAAATATTCCACTTCTTCACTTTTCTCATTTAACCATCAAAACTCCATCAATTTGGGAAATGATCTTTCAGAATTTAACAATTCCTACCAACAAAATAACATATGCTCCATATGGGTTTATAAATAGATCCAATCAGAATGTTAAATGATCAAATTTTCATTACTAAAATCAAAATGCTGGATTACCTTCAGAATTAAGACAGCAGCAAAGCGACGATACTCGATCCTTTCCCCGCGCAACCAGTCCAAAGCAATTTTTACCTGAGAATGAAAGACAATCCGGCATTTACTTATGCAGACTACTTATATTAGGTAACCAAAAATTTACACAGACCTGGCGTTCAACTTCATCTGCTGTCATTGCTCCACCTGCCCTAGCTAGATGACCCAAAACTCGGCTAGCAAGTACCAAAATTTCAGGATCACGCTTCAGCTCAAATACATTCCTAATATAATTAGAAAACCTCGAAACTTTTGAAGCATTTTCACCCAGAGCCACATCAATCAACTCATCAATAGCCCTCAAAGCTCCCAAATTTTCAGGTACATCGTTACTTTCTAAAAGAATAGAAATACGATCATATAATTGATCCATGAACCGGGAAAATGCTTCCCCAGTAAGATCACGAGCTGCTTCTTCAATATGTTTCTTTAATGCTAATGGAGCCCCCTCCTATAAACAAATGATGGTTAAGAAAAATCCAACAGAACATAAGGAGCAAAGTAGCAAATTATCCATCATTCATGATACCAGAAAAAAAAAAAAAAAATGATAGTTGAAAGCAAGATCAGATTCACAAAATTGTCAAATACCTTAAGAGCAATTCGTCATATGCAAACGAACAAAAAAATGCCAAAAACCAAATAAATTACAATGCCCATCATAAACAGAATAATACTCAAAATTTCCACTAACATTGCTACTACAGACAGATGGTTTAAGTACTAATGCCACTTAGCCCAAGTCATAAAACCTAAAATATCTCGTCCACTAATCTCCTCCATCTACCTTAGACTCAAATTGACCAAAACATCCTCCATCGAACTCAGAAAAACCACAGAACAGAGTTCGCAAGCAAGAAACGGAACTAGGAAAACAAAAGCAAAACACTTATTGTGGAGAACATCCAGAATTGAACATTTTCAGCTCTCCTAAAAGGTTTTATCGAGTCGGAAAACAAAACCACAAACAGAGAAGAAAAGAAAAGAAAAGAAAACGAAGCGTACCTTTGAATGACCGCGAGTGCAGAGGTCGGCTAGGATACGATTAAGCAAGTCGAAGTTTCCTCCACTAGAGGCAGCGGTGGAAGAGCGGAGCGACTGGCCTGAGGTTGCCATCAGGCCACAAAAACCCTAAACCCCAGAAAAAGCCTTGTTGAACTAAAAGCTTTCTAGCTCATCCCAAGCTTTTTTGAACCCTAAATCTTCAAAATCATGGAAATCAGCATAACATCACACAGTGAGAGCTCTCCTCTGAAGCGTGATGATGAAGGCCCTCTGTTAATTTGTCCGCTCGCATTTGCCAACCGCGTCCCTGGTCTAAGCGCTCGGGAAACCTTGGATTCTCACCTCCATTTTCTTTTTTCATTTTATTTTTTGTAAATTGCAAAAAACATCCCCGAATTATACTATTTTACGATCATGCCCTTCAATTTTCATTTTGATCAAAAATACCCCTCCTTATCTATGAAATTACTCCAATTAAGTCCTTCAATATTGTAAAATTTATAATTTAGCCCAATTTTTTTTTTTTTATTCTATTAGATTTGTGAATATTTATAATATATTTAAAATTTTAATTGGGATGGGTTTTATGAATTTGAATGAGAATGATTAGAACAACCGTTCGGGATTTGAATGTAACGTCTTCAACAATTCTTGGGTAGTTTTTTATTCTCGTGTTTCTTTCTTTCAACTAATCAGTACAGGACTCGATTTTGTGTAATTGGAACTTTGTGGTTGATTTGGAGAGTCTGAAATTTGGGAACCCAAAACTGTGTTTACGGTGCTAAGATGAGAAATTGAGAAACTCGAATCAAATGTTTCGGTGTTGTGTTTGGAAGCTTGCTCGTGTTTAGGGTGCACTCAAGTTCAATAGTTTTTTTCTTTTACTACTTCTTTTTATCGCTCTCTCTTCCTTTCTTTCTTATTTTCTAGCACTTGGATTAATTTTTTTTTTAGATTTTAAATTTTTTAATTAATTAATATGTAGATCAATAAATTTTAAATTAATATTTAATATATTAAATATTCAAATATATTATTGGTTAAAAATTCTCGCTTTTATCCATGTGAGGAAGATTTTTGGTGTAAAAAAAAAAAATGAAACTCCAACCTATTATTTTAACCACTTTATTATATACCGTAAATCCATGACCTTGTCATAAAATATTTTTAAATGAATTTTTTTACATTGAAAATATGGTAACCTTAATAAAATATGTTTATTAACGAGACATTATTTATAAAGGTGTGGAAAGTTCTCCCTCGCATACACATTTTTAAAATCTTGAGGGAAATCCCAAAAGAAAAAGTCCAAAAAAGACAATATCTGCTAGCTAGCGGTGGGTTTAAGCTATTATAAATGTTATCAGAGCCAAACATCGGGCTGTGTGTCTCAAAAGGGGCATGGTTTGTGAAATCCCACATCGATTGGAAAGAGGCAGCGTGTCAGTGAGGACCCCTTCAGATTGCACATTGATTAGAGAGAGGAATGAGTGTCAGCTGGGTCTTGAAAAGAGGCGGTGAGCTAGTGAGGACGTTGAGCCCTGAAGGGGTAGATTGTGAGTTCGCACATCGATTGAAAAGAGGAATGAGTGTCAGTTGGGTCTTGGAAAGAGGCGGCAAGCCCACGAGGACGTTGGGCTTTGAAGGGGTAGATTGTGAGATCGCGGAAAGAGGAATGAATGTCAGCTAGGTCTTGGAAAGAGGCAGCGTGCCAGCGAGGACGTTGGGTCATGAAGAGGTAGATTGTGAGATCGCACATTGATTGGAGAGAGAACGCTAGCTCGACTGAAAGGGGTGCGGTCATTGCACCTCTTTTCAAAAATGAACTTCTTAAAATATCATTAGTATCCTTAAATTAGCCTAAATTTTCCGGAGTCAATAAAAACAAGAGATGCCTTTTAGTTTAATTTCCAACGTCTTATAAGAAATTTCATCGAAATTAAGGAAGAAAATATAGGTTTCTTCTCAAAACCTCTCCACGTGTATGAAGGACAGTTAATAGCCTTCCAAATGTGGAAAACTTGTCGTTGACTTTGACTTTGACTTAGCTCAATTTTTCTATTTATATTATTCTAAATTATGTTAATTATAACTCGATGTGTGAATTATTAAACCATTCTAGTAACAAAAATATAATTAAAATGCACTAAATAAATAAATAAACACAATATATAGTCTTCGGTTCAAATTTCATTCTCGGGTGGGTTTAGATATATAGTACATTTTTTACACATGACTCAAACACATACACGTGGACTCACTAGGCAAATACTCGATTTTCCTAAACCCTAGAGTTGCTTATAGCCTTAAACGCTCTTGTACAACCGAGTCATGAAAAGAAATAGGACCCAAAGTCATTCTTAATAGATACACTGTAACGACTCTAGAATTTTTACTTAACCTAAGTCGCTACTATATACTTATTATAGACATTTTATGCAAAAATACTTCATTGAAAACTTTATAATAAAAACGTGACCTTGGTCTTACATGTTTTCTTTAATACCTTTAAATAAAATGATAAAAATTGAAAATAACATAAAATAAAAATGGAAATCCAAATTAACCTATACTAACCAATAATCTACTAAATTCAAATTGGAAAATTACCCAAAGTATGTGCTACAGACTTCTATATTGTAAGAGAGTCTTGCCTTTACTTGAAAAACAAGAGTAGCACGTGACTTGAGTATTTTAATAAATATTCAGTAAGCGTCCCCCCTATTGGAATTAAATGCAATCGTGAATAGAAGCTATCATATCAATCTATTTTCCTAGACGGCTATCCTAAACATACAAGTGGATGTATATTTACTTTATACACAAGATGTTTTTAACTTTAACGCTTATGTGCTGTTCTAAAGATGCTTTCAAACACGTATATCTATGATAATGTTTTTAAGATAAAGTTTCAACAATGATTTAAGGTTGTTATAGAAAGAATTTTATATTTAAAAGATTTTATAAAAGTAAATGTCTTTAAGAAAGGTTTAAACAATGATTTTTTAACCTAATCTCAAAGCGCACGAAATTAAACAAGAACATGAACGAAAGCCATCAAAATTTTATTCAAGACTTGGAAAAAGAAACCAGGTAGGCCATTATTGATAAGTGCTACAAAAGATCTCGTACACTCATTGCTAAATGCTACAAGATATCGTACATTGCCCTTTTTGAATGAAGATGGTCGAATAGATTAAAACTTTTAATCTTCCCCTCGAGAAAATGGTTTAAACAAACTGATTGAGGAATTCATCGACGGTTGTGTATTTAACATCAGGATACAAGTTGGTGGCTTCTACTCCAAATGATGCTTCAATATCAAAGTTGGTATGATCTCCCTTCACAAATGCTGAGTGAGAGATTGCTAATATCACGTTTATGGGAAGTGGAGCCTCTGCAACAACAGACAATAATACTTATCTATCAAATTTCTATTCAAATTGCTACTACAAATTTTGTATGATTCTGATACTGTGAAACGCTCGATGCTCATCTCGGTTTTGCTAGTAAGAACGTCACATCTCATTTCTTAGTTGAGACTGTAGTGACCCATGCTTAGGTCTAATTTGTGTATCGATAGTCATTAGTATGTCGGTTTAAGTTTTGAATGGACGAATAATTGTAAAGACCCAGATCTACCGCTAGTAGATATTGTCTTTGGACTTTCCCTTTCGGGCTTCCCCTAAAGGCTTTAAAACGCGTCTGATAGGGGAAACCTTCCACACCTTATAAATGGTGGTTTCTTCTCCTCCCCAACCAATGTAGGACATCACAACCCACCTCTTTTTGGAGCCCAGCGTCCTCATTGACACTCTGTCTACCCCCTTCGGGGAACAGCAAAAAGGCTAGCACATCGTCCGGTGTCTGGCTCTAATGCCATTTGCAACAACCCAGATCCACCGCTGTCAGATATTGTCTTCTTTGGACTTTCCCTTTGGTCGTTACAATAATAGTTGAGATCATGTCGAGTCATGCCTAACTAGAGTTATATTTATTTAATATGGGGGTTTGTAAGGCTAAATTAATAAAAATATCTATAAACTCTCGAATTTATTTAAACAAAAATATCCCTAACCTTAAAAGAAGAAAAATCTAAAAAATACTTTTACTCTTAGTATTTCAAACTACTTTTACAGGTAAGTGGAATCTGTATGCTCAAAACCCCCGATTCAAATAATCATTTATTTGGTACTTTCGAAGGAGCCGGAATTGCCATTCTAACCTGAGAAAAAAAATCTTACGATCGGTCTACGCTTTATAGATTACCTTTTAATATTAGTTTGAATAATATCAATTTAAAATTTTCATGAGTATTTTTGAAACATGATGAGATGTTTTAAGAATATTTTTGAAATTTGTTCGAGGAATAGCATAAAATATAAAAATGAAACCAACCTTGGATGTTCTTCAACACTTGTTCCTCTGGAACGTAGATTCTGTCTAGGGTTTTCCCAATTTTTTTCTCCCAAAGTGACACGAGATCATTGAAAGAGTAGATGTTACCAGAAGGCCTAATGTAGAGGGTCTTGTTCAACGTTCTTGGATCCTCCACAGCTTTCATAGTGTACACGGCAATGTCTTCTTCCTTGTTGAATATAGCTGCCCATTCAAAACAAAATTTACGACCATTAAGATCCGCTTATACCCATTTCGACTAATTTCCCAAAACTCGAGCATCTAAGATGTAACACTCTAAGCCTATCGATTATAGATATTATTCTATTCTCTTCGGGTTTTTCCTCCCTCAAAAGTTTTTAAAATGCTTGTTTGCTAGGGAGAGGTTTCTACGCCTTTATAAGGAGTGATTAGTTCTTCTCTCCAACTGATGTGGGATTCTTTATAAGAGTGGTTTGTTCTTCTCTCTTACTGATGTAGGATCTCACCACGAAAACCTCTCTCTAGTAGATAAATTTTAAAAATCTCGTTCTTCTCTCCAACTGATGTGGGATCTCACCACGAAGACCTTTCTCTAGTAGATACATTTTAAAAATCTCGAGGAAAAGCTCGAAAAGAAAAATCCACAAAAGACAATATCAGCTAGGTAAAAAGACAATATCAACTAAGCAGTTACTTAAGAATTCAATGAAATGTAAGGAAGAATATAAGGAAGAATCCAGTAGCTTATACCTATCTCGACTAATTTTCCAAAACTTAGAGCATCTAAGATGTAACGGCCCAAGCCCAAGATGTAACAGATATTGTTATCTTCAGACTTTTCCTTTCAGGCTTCCCCTCATATTTCAAAATATAGGGGTGAAGAAGATTAGAAAAACAATCAAATATCTGAATTCAACTTTCGTCAAACTTGGACACGGCATGGGGTTCAATAAAAGAGTGAGAACGAAAAAGAAAATGTGATGGCTAGGGCAACGTCTAAGAGGTTTCCACACCCTAATACTTCGTTCTCCTCCCCAACTGAGGATTTCACCCTTAATAAAAGATGACACGAGATCCCATATCAGTAGAAAAAGAGAATAAAGCATTCTCTATAAGGGTATGAAAACGAAACATTCTCTATAAGGGTATGAAAACGAAGCGCTCTGTATGAGGGCATGGAAACGAAGCTCTTTATAAGGGCATGGAAACGAAGCTCTTTATAAGGGCATGGAAATCTCCTTAGTAGACCCGTTTTAAAAACTTTGAGGGAAACCCAAAAACGAAATCCAAAGAGGACAACATCTGCTAATGGTGGGACCCACCGGATAGTTACATAAGAATAACGGTAAGAAAGAATTAAGCGGATTACATTTGGGATTCCCATCTCCTAAGATAACAACTTTATCTCTTGGAGGGCTTGTGGCTCCAGGCTGAGACAAGCTAGGAAGGAAGTAGCCTGCAAAAAAGTTAGCAGACACATAGGTATAAGGAATCCCCGCAGCTTCCACGGCTCGACGGATTTGAACCTTTATATTAAAGGCTGATTTAGCTGGTTCAACAGCATGTACACGATCCACATCGTTCCCAAACTCCGAAGGCAGAAATCTCTACACAAATCCCATAATTCAAAAACTTGCAAATATTATTGGATAATGTTCGTAAATATTAAGGATTAAAGCTATGACACCTTCACATTGCCAGCCTCTTTGATGGCTGAAATGAGCTTCTCTTGGTCGGCTAATTGACCCGCACCAACGGTCGATATCACAACGTCCACCTCTTTTATAGCCTTCACCAAACTGCTGTGATTGTAGAGATCACCCTACAAAATGTTCTTACAACTTGGGATAACGAACGTCTACAATGTTATGATATTGTATAATTTGAGTAAAGAGGGATCGTAAGTTGAGTTGAGACATTTTTTAGATCTAAACCAATTGTTCGTATTGTTGTAAAATTTTTTATAATATTAAAATACTATTTATTTTTTGCAAAGAGTGTTCGTAGCTATATAGTTTGAGCAAAGAGTGTTCGTAGCTATATAGTTTGAGCAAAGAGTGTTCGTAGCTATATAGTTTGAGCAAAGAGTGTTCGTAGCTATATAGTTTGAGCAAAGAGTGTTCGAAGGTTGGGTTGAGACATTCTTTAGACCTAAACTAATTGTTGTGTTGTTGTAAAATTTTTATAATATTAAAATACTGTATAGTTTGAGCAAAAAGTGTTCATAGATTGGATTGAGACATTTTTTAGAACTTGTTTCGTGTTGTTGTAAAATTTTTATAATATTAAAATACTGTATAGTTTGAACCGAGAGTGTTTAGATTGGGTTGAGACAGTTTTTAGACCTAAACCAATTGTTCGTTTTGTGTCAAGAGTGTTCGTAAGTTGGGTTGAGACAATTTTTAGACCTAAACCAATCTAATTTGAGAAAAAATCATGAACAAATCCCATCCGAGGGTTAATCAGGGTATGGAGAGATGTCACTTAGTTAGCTGATAACCACCCCATTGAGAGTACGAACCATACTATATTATAACTACAAAATGTTTTTGAAAGCAATACATATAAACTATAGTTTCATAGTCTATGCTATAAAAAAACCTGTCTCAGACTTTTAATAACATAGGCTGACACGACGTATAAAAAAATGTTATAAAGCTATCGTATCTATTATTTCTTGTAATAACTCCAACAATCTCTCTAATGATATTCATCTTAATAAGCTTCTCCTTGAACAAAGTACCCGTTGAGTCTCCCCTTAAATAGTCATCTATGTTTCTAGGACTATCTGAGCTATACATTCGATATTTGGTACTTGAGAATGAACCTCTACAACGATATGATTTTAAGCTCTCATGCAACGATTATAATGTCTTGTACACATGATAATGCATATAAACACGATAAAAATCAGCTTACAGAGACTATATTGACTCCCAAGTTCTTGAAATTATTAATAATGGGGGACTTGGCAGGATCGGAGACGGTGGCATCTCGAACAAGGGCGTATGTCGGGTTTCCAGCCTTAGCGCTCGCCTCGACAATGAACTTTCCGATGTAACCAGTGCCTCCGACGACCAGGATCTTGCTTTTGCTAGCCATTTGTTCCGAATCTCCAAACAAGAAAGTTGAGTGTAATTACAATAAATGGAGGGTTTGATTTATAGGACAAAGGCCTTTGGCTTAAATTACCAATCAACCCCTCACCTTTGTCTGTTGACTTTTTCAATCGTCAACCATGGCTTTATTTAGTTAATCTTGCTTAATTTTCTCTCATTATATATATATTAAAATTAATTGCTCTCTTTTTATTCTAAATACAAGTTAACTCAATCTTTCTTGGTTAACCAAATTAATTTTATTTAAATGATTTTGAACGGTTCGTTTATGGTTTACATCGATACAATTATTAGTTTCGAAGTTTTAATGGATAAAACCCTAAAGCTTAAGGGTAGAAATTTTTAACGTGCATTAAAACTCGTCCTCTAACGTCTCTTTTAGGGTTCATAGTTAGAAGTAATGAATGTACCACTATTTTTACGCCTCGACACATACAAATTCTCTCATACCACTTTAATGGGGTTTTACGAGAACCGAAAATAATTGAAAATGAAAAAATGACTAAGATTTATTTCACTCGAACGCCGAATATATGTTATCTATTCATTTAGGTCCGAATTAATATAAGTTAGCCTTTTATTTTCTATTGTTGAAAATTAAGTTTATAATTATTACTTCTTTTTATGTCATTACATAATTATTTTATAACAGCTAAGTCCTCCCTCCACGAGTAGATATTATTGGGAATTGGCTCATCTAATAGGAAAGGGTATGAGCGTATCAAACCCTAACTGAATTGCTCAAGTTTGATGATGACAGGAAGACCAAAGGACCTCCCTTTTATAATGGAATCCAACTCCCCACTTTCTTTACCAAAGGGGATGTGAAACAACTTTCATTTTTTTTTCCATAATTTTGGGTTATTACATTAATACTGTGAGATCACACATCTGTTGAAGATGGAACGAAACATTCTTTATAAGGGTGTGAAAATATCTCACTAAAAAACACGTCTTAAAATCGTGATACTAATGACGATACGTAACGGGCCAAAGCGGACAATATATACTAGCAGTGAACAAGACGAGACCTTTTATAGTAGGATAAGCCCTAGAAAACACAAAGAGAATAATATTTGCTAGCTGTTGACTTGGAATATCTACTAGCTGTGAACTTGAACTGTTAAAAGTGTATAAAATAAACATAGTTATGTAACGGGCCAAAGCGGACAATATCTACTAGTAGTGACAAGACATGACCTTTTATAGTAGTAAGTAATTGACTAATTGACAAGACAGGACCTTTTATAGTAGTAAGTAATTGACTAATCTAGCCTTCGAGGATAAACCCTAATCAATCAGGATAAGCCCTAGAAAACGCAAAGAGAACAATATCTGCTATCAATCAGGATAAGCCCTAGAAAACGCAAAGAGAACAATATCTGCTAACAATCAGGATAAGCCCTAGAAAACGCAAAGAGAACAATATCTGCTAACAATCAGGATAAGCCCTAGAAAACGCAAAGAGAACAATATCTGCTAACAATCAGGATAAGCCCTAGAAAACGCAAAGAGAACAATATCTGCTAACAATCAGGATAAGCCCTAGAAAACGCAAAGAGAACAATATCTGCTAACAATCAGGATAAGCCCTAGAAAACGCAAAGAGAACAATATCTGCTAACAATCAGGATAAGCCCTAGAAAACGCAAAGAGAACAATATCGAAAATGCAACAATATCTACTAACGCCCTAGATCAGGATAAGCCCTAGAAAACGCAAAGAGAACAATATAGATGAACACGATTCTCCACAATGATATGATATTGTTTACTTTAAGTATAAGCTCTCAATTGGCTTTGCTTTAGGTTTGCCCAAAAAACCTCATACCAACATACCAATGGAGATAATATTCATTGATTATAAACCCATGACCATTCTCTAAATTAACCGATGTGGGACTTTCATCCAATATCATTTATATTTTAATATTGTTTGAAGTTATTATATTGATCATATAATAAAAACCTTCTCATTTTCATTATTTCATTCATAATAGGAAGATGTACCATACATAAAACATTCATAAGAACATAGATCACTAGACCGATCACAACTAAAGTTATTTTTATTTAGTCACTTTTACTGGCGGTCCAGTATTTTTATTTGAGTTATAACCATTCTCAGAATGGCCTTTGACCTCTAACATTGCCCGGTGGATTATAGTTGCAAGTGATGAACCTACCACGATTGTTTGTGCATCTCACTTTGGCACATCCAATTCTCACTGACTTTCTCCACACTACTTGAGTGTAATGGCCACACACCTTGCCAGCCGCACAAGTATTGGTGCGAGGATTGTAATATTGCTTCTCGGTGACCCACATCCAAATTGCAGCAATGCCTGATAAGTTGTAGCTGCTCCATGCAAGATTTTCTCCATATGGTCCGCCTGAGTGCACCAACTTACAGTTATATTTACGTTGGTTGGCATATTGTCGAGCAAATCTAGCTACCCTTTCGTCCCACATGACTGGCCCGACACCAACAAGGGCACAGGCTGCATTGTGGCATTGACAAAGTCTCGAGGAGAATCTTGAGCGAGAGACGAGGGAAGCATCGCAAAGCTCGAGACATAGAAGAGGAAGAGGGAGAGCTTAAAAAGATCCATTATTTGGAATTGGAGTTGTGATAAAATGGTTAGAAGTTTGGTGTGGAGAGAATGGGATGGCTATGAGTGTGATTTATAAGCATGAAGTTGTGGAATATTATAGGAAGGAGATTATTTTAAGTTTGTGGACTATTCAAAAGCGTAGCATACACAACTAAATTTTCGTATCTCACTTGTTATAATAAAAAAATAAGGATAAAAAAATTAATGAATCTCCATGTGCATGAATTTTGAATTTTTAAATTCTCTAATAAATGTCTAATTTACATTTGTATTGTGAGATCCAGATCGGTTGGTGAGGAGAACGAACCACCCTTTATAAGGATGTGAAAACTTTTCCCTAGCAGAAGTGTTTTAAAAACCTTGAGGGGAGTATGTAAGCGAAAGCCTAAAGAGGATAATATCTGCTAGAAGTGAGCTTGGACCGTTACAAATGGTATTAGAGCCAGACACTAGGCGAAGTGCGAGCAAGGAGGTTGTTCCCTGAAGGAGGGTAGACACTGGGCAGTGTGCCAATAAGAACGTTGGGCCTCGAAGAGGGGGGTAGTTTTGGTGGTGGTCCCACATATACTGGAGAAAGGAATGAGTGCCAGAGAGGACGTTGGACCCTGAAGGGGGGTAGATTTTGAGATCCCTTATTGGTTGGGAGGAGAACGAAATATCACCAATAAAAACACTGGGCCTCGAAGGGAGGTGGTTTTGGTGGTGGTCCCATATCGATTGGAGAAAAGAACGAGTGCCAACGAGGACGATGGACCCTGAAGGCGGGTGGATTGTGAGATCCCATATCGGTTGGAAGGAGAACAAAACAGGTGTGGAAACCTTTCCCTAGCAGATGCGTTTTAAAAACCTTGAGGGGAAGCCCGAAAAGGAAAGATGCCAAAAACTTTGACGAGAAGCTCGAAAGGGAAAGATTAGAGGTTTTCCTCTACCGTTAACTTAAAAAAAAACATAAATTAGAGACTTTCAATTAAAAGATTAAAAAAAAAAACAGAACATATTTCTTAACCGAACATATTTCTCGATTAAGAGGTCTAAGTTTACGTACTTTGTTCGGTTAAAAAACGGGAAGATTTTGACTTATAATTTCTTGATCGAGTATCTCGATTAAATAAAATAGTTAAAATATGATTAGGTTAATGTGTTAATTAGATAGTTTACTTAAACATAAAAATAAAATATCTTTGAAATGTATTTACTCCAAATTTTAAATAGAGATAGTTGTTATTAGTTTATTCCTACTACAAATAATGTGTTTTAAAATAGTATAAAAAATATGAATAATTGTTTGTTTATTCTTATATATTTAAAAATAATTTATCTTATGAATTTGAAACGTGCATAGAACTTATTGGATTTTAGAAAATTAACCCAATCCAACTCTGTGTTATCTAATCCAACCCAATTCCTATAATTTGGGAAGGGTCTAGTTTTAGTTGTTAGGTTCAATAAATACCCCTTAACGAGAAGGTTGAAAATTTTGTTAAATGCATCCGATTACTAATCAAATCAAGCTCGTAGTCAGGCACGAGATGATTTGTAGGTGATATGCTATTTTTTGTCCCTTTATTTTTACTCATTTAGGGCTTCAAGATGACGTAACTTCAAACACACAATCGAAGAAGTAGATATGAAGCAACTTGCCAAGACTTCGAAAGTCGAGGTCTTTCTCAATAATATAAGAGGAAAATGAGAGCATATACAATGTGATATGGATAAGGAATCACTACAAGGGGAGTAAGATTCAGATTACCTTGTTGATCGAATATCTCAAGGCAAGAACATTGTTTGAGATTCGAATCACTCCACAAGCAAGATCGATCATGTCTAGCTTGAATGATTCTTGTTGATCAAATATCTCAAGGCAAGAACACTTGCTTGAGATTCGAATCACTCCACAAGCAAGATTGATCATGTCGAGCTTGAATGATTCTACATGCAACCTAAACTACATAGAATTGCAAAGAAACTTAGCCATTGGCTAAAGAAGAGCACAAATGCTTCTTTTACTATATTTTTCAAGTCCCTTACAAATACAACATACATGGCTTTATATAGCCTCAAAATGAAACTACTAGTCATTCCAAGAATTGTAACATTCATACTTAATGGTCATAATTAACCATTATGTAATTGTAACCTAAAGNAAATAAAAAGTCCTAAAAACTCTAAATTGTAACCCACCCAAAATTTATAACAATCAAACTACACTCTTCTTCAATGTGGCATGCATTGAAACATCTTTTGATAATTTTGACAACTTTTTCTTCGCATCGTCATTGAAGTATATTGTATGATTGATGTTTTTTGGTTCATACCAGAATGTTATGAATTAGTCACTTAAAACTCTTCAATGTTCTCATCCTTTCATG